GTTCAGGGCAGGCTATGTTAAAGCAGAAATTGGCCAATTTCCCTATCAATAGGAAAAACATTTACCAATTGCAAATGAGGACTGAGGCTAGGGGAGGAAGTGATAATCATCTGTCAGAACTTTTAAATATAAGAGCTGCTCAGTGTAGCCTGCCTGCCAGATCTGTGTAGAAATATCCTGACTGACAGGCAGGTTGCTTTAGAGAGGTTCTGGTCTACTGCATCCTCCAATAATATTGGTGCTGCTGGTGTCAAATCAATCCAACAGCGTAAATAAACATAGCTGTGGAGGGAAATCGGTAGTCACCAGAGAGCAGAGTCTGGCTTTGCCTGCACAACCCACAGCAGTCAATTTGACCTGAGCAGACTCCAGCCCATGCTGTCTCAACCTGAGTGGGTGAACTTATACATATAGGTTAAGAGAAGATAAAGCACTAATTTCACAACGATTAGAAAAAAAAAAAACAAAGTTAGCTGGCCTTAGCTGGGGAAGAGAGGAAGGCTGTGGATGCAGGCTTATAAAAAGGCATCTTCAAGACAATTTTATGCAGACAAGCAGACATGCTGCTTATTAATGCTGCAGAGAATAGACAGCTTCATGCTTTCCAGAGGTTTAGATGACAAGTCCTGATGGCTGACTGATACGGACACAGACACGGGGCCTCTAATTCCTCTTTTGGCAGCAGCTGTCCAAGGTTTCAGGCAGTCATGCCAAAAGCCTTAGGCCCTCATCAAGCTCGTTCTCTTTGAGGGCCCTTTGGCTCTTTGAGGGCCCTTTGGGGAACAAGAGAAGTTACAGCTTAAGCCCTCAGATAGGTGTGTCAAAGGTAAGAAGCAGAAAAAAGTCCACAAATCTCTTTCCCAAACCAAATCTGTATCCACCACATGTACTGTGACCCCACCTACCTGTAGCCCTCAGCTCCCAATTTTTTTTCAAGTGTGGCAAAAGGCTTATCCATCCTTACTTTAACTGAATAAGTGCAGGATTAACCTGAAAGCATCATTTGCAGGCAAAGTATGGGCTCTCCACTGACAGGATTTCTTCCCTAAAAGTGGGGCGAAATCTGCTGTTGTGACCCATTAATATATATGGCCCCAAAGATGTGCCCCACTCTTTTACAGTTTGGTTTTTTCTCAAAAGGAGAAATCCAGGGTAGCATCTTCACTGAAGTGGTGACAGTTAAATGCCTTCCAGATGCACTGGACTACAACTCTTACAATATACTAATACCGGTAGTACAGCATACTAATATATTATAGGTAGTCTTTGACTTGCAACAGTTCATTTAGTGACCATTCGAAGTTACAATGGCACTGAAAAAAATAACTTATGACCATTTTTCACAATTATGATTATTGCAGCATCCCCATGGTCACATGATCAAAATTCGGACATTGGCAACTGGCATGTATTTACTAATGGTTGCAGTGTCCCAGGGTCAGGTGGTCCCCTTTTGTGACTGTCTGACAAGCCAAGTCAAGCCAGATACACTTAACAGTGTTACTAATTTAACAACTGCAGTGATTCACTTAATAAATGTGGCAAGAAAGGTCATAAAATGGGGCAAAACTCACTTAACAAATTTCTCACTTAACGACATAAATTTTGGGCTCAATTATGGTTGTAAGTTGAGGACTTGTTGTTGTTACTTGCGAAGTTGTGTCCAACCCATTGCGACCCCATGGACAACATTTCTCCAGGCCTTCCTATTCTCTACCATCTTCTGGAGTCCATTTAAGCTCACGCCTACTGCTTCCGTGACTCCATCCAGCCACCTCATTCTTTGTCGTCCCCTTCTTCTATTGCCCTCAATCTTTCCCAGCATTAGGCCCTTCTCCAGTGAGTCCTTCCTTCTCATTAGGTGGCCAAAGTACTTGAGTTTTAACTTCAGGATCTGGCCTTCTAAAGAGCAGCAGTCAGGGTTGATCTCCTCTAGGACTGACCGGTTTGATTGCCTTGCAGTCCAGGGGACTCGCAGGAGTCTTCTCCAGCACAATAGTTCAAGGGCCTCATTTTTTTTGCGCTCAGCCTTTCTTATGGTCCAACTTTCACAGCCATACATTGCAACTGGGAAAACCATGGCCTTGACTATACGTACTTTTGTTGGCAGGGTGATGTCTCTGCTTTTTAGTATGCTGTCTAGATTTGCCATAGCTTTCCTCCCCAGGAGCAAG